ATTCAAAGACTTCTATCCAAAATTACAAGTCAGTAAATCAAAAAAAAAAGGCACATAAAAAGTGACCACTCACACAACGCAAGTCATTAATAGGTTGAGTGAGTTGTTTGCAAAAAATGCTTACTTTTCTCTAAAGTTAATGCATAACAGTGACAAAAAAATCAAAATGTGTGCAAAATATTTGACAAATAGCAGAAAACTAATTAATAAGGTAAAGAAGTAATAACTTAAGCTACTTGCCCCCCTAAGTTAATGTAGGCGTTTTTATTGACAAATAAATCATTTTGCCTGTTAAATTTTTACTTACATTTCCGCTGAATGCAAAATGGCAATAGTCAAAAAGAAATTTCAAATTTTAAACACTTATGCACTTATTATTTAAAAGTTTCTAATTTTTAAAAGTAGAATAGTTTTATAGAATAACACAGTATTTTAATCTCACAAATTTTCCATTACTTGACGCAAGAAAAGCAATTACCTAATTCAGTCGCAATGATAATCCTATCAATTTCGTCAATGTATTTTAGATTTAAAAAGTAATAACTAGAACATTATGTAACAACCACAGCGACAAGGACAAGGAATAACAACCTGATAACATCGTTGCGACTCTTAACTAACATTCTACTAGAATCTGTTGCAGGAAGTACTGAGGTACAATCTATCGCTTTAATTAGGCATAAATGCCTTCTCAAATTTGCTAACTCATAAAAATCATTTCGCAAAGTAATAGAACTTCAGGATCAATTTATTAAATATTCTGTTGCTAAATATACATATTTGATATTCTGTTGCTTGTATTCTAACAACAAAATGTGACACAACACATCAACACAATTTTTATTCTCCAAATATCTATCAGAAGTGCAATTAAAGCTTCAATAATTTATGTGTAAAAGAAAAAAAAACAGAAATAGATGTACTAAAATGCCATGAGATATAGCAATGATGTAGAATAAAAGAGTCATGATTAATTTATTATAAATCCAAGGCAGTAAAATTCTCGTACGACACAAATAAAGTTAATTTCAAATTAAAAACATTTTATACAAGTAGCATCTTAAAGAACGAAATTTATATTACATATGTAATTGCAAGTATACAAGACTTGCTTCTTTCAGCAAACATTTGAATAGATTTCGATGAAATCAAGAAACCTTTCTCTTTCATAAAATGTAATATATTAACTACTCTTAGGATGAATGTGTTAAGAGTCATAGTATCTATTTGCACAAGAAAAAAAAGCATTCAATACCGATATCACCAACTGGAAAAGAAAATAACTATTTTCGTGAGCAAGAATGTTTGGCAAAGCATTCTCAGAATCTGACATACCAACTGCATGCAAATTGAATCAAAACTTGTGATCTAAAAATAAATAGACGAAGCAAATACCTTAGCAAATTTCAGATATCATAGTTAGTGACATAAGAATGTCTTTCTAAGGTACAAAAAACAGTGTTTCTTTCATCCTATAATGAGCTACTTCAAAAATTAATAAATCTTGCGACCAACAATATGAGCACTTTATGGTTTACTGCAGTATAACTCATTCATTAAAAAGATACGTAAGACTTAAACTATTCATCAACCAATACTTATGATCAAGATGACATTTTTGATAAACATCCTAAAGTCGCAAAGTATTTGAGACAAAAAAAGCTGAGAAATTACATTACATCACTTTAGAATTGAGAAATTTCATTACAATGATCGAATCTTTTTTCTGTTTAACTATGACTGAATTTTCAAATTTCCTGTTAGGTATTAAAGCACTGAAAACATTGGATCAGTATGTAGAAATTGTAATACAAATGAAATATCTCGGAAATTCACGCTCAGCACAATGTAAAATCACATACGTTATCATTAAAAATAAAATGTTTTTATCAAGCTCGTCATCCAATTTTACGAGGTTTATGAAGAAAACTGGAACAGGGATCTTGTAAATCAGGGACATGTTCTATTGATGATGGCAAAGACACCTGACTAGGAGCAAACGACAACCAATCTTTCAAACCAGGTGACAGCACAAGACGCTGAGTTAAATTATGATGAACGATATAAGTTTGAGTTGTTTCAAAGTGCGTAAGAAGCATTAAAATCTACAAATAAAATCGAAATTACATCAAAAAACTTAATAGAACTGAAGTTCACAGGATTATTTGAAAAACTGTGTTATTTTAGTGTGAAAAACTAACTTGACGATGCATAGGAGGAATAGTATCCACAGATGATAAACAAGCACGTGTTGAAATTACATTTAATGACTGCGAGCAATCGCAAAAAACCTAAAAATTTGACTCATACTCCTTTAAAATATTACAGATTCACGAAACCATAAAATGATCAGGTTCATTTACAAATTTACGCACAATTAAGCTTTGAACATTATAATTTGTCTTCATTGAAGCTAATGCAAAAAAACGTACTTGTAAGTAATGGCGCTCATGATGGTTTTCGATCAACAATATGTGACCACCAAAGTTTTTTGTAACATACCGAATTACGGTACCTTCTAAGCTCTAAAAATTGTCTGAATTCTTTTACTAAAAAAATAATTGATGCAAAGATTTGGAAATTAATAACAAATATTCATAGCAATAAAATATATCATGCATTACTAAAAAGTAAATTACCTACAATAATCAAAATTTTGAGGCCGATGAAGAGAAGTAAAACAAAGCGTGATAGCCAATGTGAACGAGCCACTTAATCAAATGCTTTTAAAATTAGGAAATATTATGAAGTGATGTTAATGTATGACAAAAAAAAACTTTGAATGCAGGACTTACTGGCGTACTACAGCCTTCTTTTAAACACATTTCAATCAAGGAATGCGCAATAACTGATGGTGGATATCGAAAAGCTTCCATTGCTACATCTTTTGCACTAAAATATCTATCACAATGATTTCTCCCGCAAAAGCGTGCATCCAATTCCAAATTTCAAGCTAGTTATTTTAATACAACAATAATCTTGGCTTTTTAAACTCATTATGACTTGTTATAATTCTTCTAAATTCCGTCACTGCTTTTTTTTCTTCGAAATTATGACCCTAACCTATGAACAGCAACAACAGTATCAATAGAAATTGGATATGACATATTGCTGAAGGAGATAGCAAGTACAGTATATAATGCTGGTCCTTTTAAAAAAACATCACCAGTACTTGCAAATGCTGCATTGTGACGGATTGATCTGAAAAGAAAAGAGCATATCAGAGAAATTTTAATATCGTCAAGTTTTTTCATAAAATAGAAATGGTCTGGTGAAATACATAGTAAGATTATTTTCTACTTCATCTTTTCAAAGCATACAGCTCGAAGAAAGTAAAAACAAACGCAAAGAGAAGTCATAAGTAAGATCTTCAACAATAAGTAACCTTTCTTTTACCAAGAAAGACGGATAGGCTACGAACCCTATCCGTTATTCTAATATCTAATAAATTCTAGTCATGTCATTCTCAATGTCAAATTGAAGTCAACAGTCTTATCAAAATTTCTATTAATGCGAACATTCCAATTAAGAATTTGACAAAATGTAATTTTGTAAGGTGATTTTTACCTTACAATAAGCTCGCCTATTGCTGCACCGGATCTACCACTTCTATGCAGTAATACTACTATGTCACTATCACACCTGTTACGAGAACCCTTCTGATACACAGATACAGCAAGTTCTGTTGACTCTTCAACTTGAAGTTGGAAACCTCTAAAAATATTGATATTTGAATAGCATAAAAAAATTACTGAAGTACATAGTAGCTTGGTAGTTGCGAAAATAAAACAATAAACATTAGAAAATTTTAACTTACAAAACTTTCTCCCTGCCCCAGAACTGAGGTATGCAACAATCAACTCGAAGTTCTTTCCAACCTTCGGATGATCGCACTTTCGCCACCTCAACCTCAAATAGCAATTTAAAAAGTTAGCAGGCGAAGAAGTAATACAATACTGATTTCAAACATCTTTGAAAAGACTCAAAATATGTTTAATAAAATAGTTGTTCAATCAAAAACAATCAAATAAATCAGTAGTCAAAAATAGATAACTAGATATTCTAAACGCTTCCTATATAACATTTCCTAAACAATTACAGAATCAAATCTCTTGATGAAATCTGAATATGGCATCCAGAAAGCTCCAGATTCAGGACCATTAGGAAGTAGGATACGACGGCTGTAGCTATCCCACCCTTGCCATGTATCGCACCAAGATCCATTCCAAGTAAACGATCCCCATGGATTCCGCAACCGGACAAGTCTACAAATCGAAATTATAAATGTTAATTACAGTACTTGAGACTCTTAAAATTGTAAAGCAAAAACAAATGTGAAAACCTTTGATTCTTATATTCTTTAACATCCAACAAAGAGTAAGCATGACGTATTTGGAGACCTACACTTCTGAACTCAGCTTCATCTACATGGCGTTTTCCCCCACCGCAACTGCAACCCATAATAAAACCAGCTTCTCTGAAACCCATCGACATTTTCAGTAATGAATAAAAAGATTCAAAAAAAAAAAATATTATGAAAAGAAAACTAATCTCTTCAAGAGAAGTATTGCTGGTCAGAACACAAACATTTTTCAAGTATTGAGAGATATCATGTAACTGATTGGATGAAAATTTTATTCCTTTTACTTCTAATTGAAACAAAGTTTCTGACCTCATACTTAAAAGACGAGCCCAAACGAGATCATAGTCAGCAGAACTTTCCAAATCAATTACTATGCAAGGCGCACCAGTAAGAATTGCTAAGCCTTCTAACGTACGTCCGGCAGGTAATTTTGCATAGCAGCCAAATATTTTTGCGAGTGCTTTTTCGATCAAAGATACCCAAAGCTATAAGAATATGTAGAGAATACAACAAGAATTATTGCGATAATATGAAACCATGCAATAGAGTAAATAAAATCACGGATACCGGATTTGCATACATCAACAAATCTGCGCATAAGTTGGGGCAAAATTATAATTTCACAAAAAGAATTGAAAACTTGGAAAAGTAAGCATGAAACCTGATTGCGTCGGCCTACAGCAAATGCAAGTCCATGCGTTTGAGGATAACATGGAAAAAAATCATCCACAAGAACAACTTGCCAATGTCCATTTATGCACAAGCTAAAACTAGCAATGAATGTACACGAATGTACTAATGAAATCAAATCATTGCAATAAATTAAATATAAACTATGAAATGATGATTTACCGTATTAAATAAATCCCCCATGGGTTATAATTTTTGGTAAGGACAATTTGATCTAAAATGTCTGGCCTTTCTGCGATGACTGCTAAAGCTGACAAAAACCAACAATTTCCCAGGCAACCTGAAGTAGGACAATTACTCACTAATTTGAAATATTAGTAAATTAGATATATGTACCGCATATTTCAATTTAATTATCAGAAAGAACATATAATTTTACACTGTTTTCTATACACGTAAATGAACGTAGATAGAATCTATCTCCAAAACGCACAAAAAAATAATTTAAAACTTAATACAGAAGTGCAGAATTTAATTGTTATTTTAGTTAGAAAAATGAATTAGATGTAGTGCTAGAAGTTGATTACTCGATGAAAAATGGTTAAATTTTAATAATATACAAATTTACATAGCACACAAACTTGGAAAATTTTCATAGAACCGTTTAAGGTTATATGCGAAAAACAATGTAAAAATAAAAAATGAAAAACTATGCACAGAAAACCAACCTTGTTCAATATCTGAGGGCTTTGGATCTAAAAATATGGACCACCGATAGTTTTTCCCATCTTTTGTATAAATATTTTGAGGTCGAAGCCAAATTAAGTTATCAACATTTAGTATGCTACCATCCGGTCTTCCCTCACGAGTAAACTTACCTATAGATCGTTTTGAATGAGGGAAACTGTCGTCAATAAAGGGCATGTTATTTTCTCTGAAAACCATTTCTACCTCAGTATATGAGAAAAGAACAGAAACAATACTAAATTATTTTGGCGTTCTGGTTTGGTAATACTAATTCTTCGTATTTTTTCATCTCTAACAAACCTAGATATTTTGTAATTCTAAGAAACCTAAATATTAACGAAAAAAAAATTACAAGCCAACTTTACTTGCAGAATGTAATTATTCGGTCATATTCAGAGGCAGCAGCTTCTTCATCGTTTTGCAATAATTGGAATGATGATGTTGAGACCACATGAATCGGCAATACCAAAGACTCAACCTAAAATTGATAACAAAAAAGTAATTTTTATTTATAATCTAATAAGTGATAATTGATAGTCTAAATTTTACGTCCCTCTATTGTTTAGGTTTCTGTATAACTTAGAAAATAATAATAATAATGTTACTAATGTTGCTAACAGAGCCTTTCTGGTGCAAACACTTGAAAATTTTCGAACAAATCATTTTAATTTCTTGCAATGTTTCACTAGACCTTTGTAGGAAGAAAATGTGACTGCACATTACTTCTGCTTAGAGAAACTGAAGATTGCGATCTTCTTGATCGGGAAACCCCAGGCAATATACCAAGGTCAACCAGTGTCGAATCAATAACATTTAACGCCCTATTCAGTGAAACCTCTGCAATGACAATGATCTCTGAATATCTGTAAATGAAATATGTTTAAAAACTTGGTATCTTAACACCAAATTCAAGTAACTTTCAGAAGTAAATTCTTTAGCACGAACTGAACTTCAGTTATCTTAAACAAACAGCAGAAGTATAGACTTACTCGGTAATTTTAAGAGCTCACTCTGTTTTAAACGAGAAAATAAACTATTTGATGTATTCGAATTTCGTAAGCCACAAGAAGCGCAATATACATCCGAATCGCTGTTAATAAGTGTACAGTACTTGCAAGACCAGGTACTATACATTTTCTTCACGATTAATATGGAAAAACATTGCTATTCAAAACATCTCACTGAAAAAAATGAAATTATAAAATTAAAGAAGTTAGATCCTATACATAACCAATTCTTTCAGAATAGTTCTAAATCAGCTCAGGTTATACATTGCGTCATCTAAGTTCTGTCATCTCACGTGATCTTTCCAAAATTGGCTTTCTGTTCATACTGGAAACAATAGGCAGTTTATACCGTTAGTAAGAATTAAAACGAAAGTAAATAAAAATTGACTCGAGACGTCTGACTATTTTTTGTAGCGTAGAAAACGTACAACATCGCCTTGAAAATTTTTTTCTAAACATACAAATATTACGATGAACTTAGTCTGTAACAAATCCAACAAGCAGCCTGTCAAGAAACTGAAGCATTTTTTAAAATATAATATATTTCGCTACAATTGGCGCCACCCCTCCAAAATATTGCCGCTAGTACGATGGTTTCATGTGAGAATTTTTGATTTACACAAATTTCACGTGACTTTTTTTAATCACGCAGATTTGAATAAAAACATGTTGATGCGGACACTTTAAAAGTAGTTAAAACAAATTTTAAAAGTCAATGAATATATCTGGTAAATAATGTGTATGATAAAAATTTAATAAATTTAGGGATTTCAGAAATCTCAGGTCTATTTCAAGTAGCCAACGAAAGCAATCTAGCTTTCATGACCAGTGTCCGAAAAATGAAGTTGTTTCAGAAAGAGCGGTGAAATTTCTTCTGACATAAGTATTTAAACGGGTTTATCGATTAATATGAGATAATACTAGTGTTCTCCCGATATTTTCCAGAAATCTTATTCTTAAGGACATTTATGCCGCGTTCTTGTGGTGTAAAGTAATTCGACTATAAAAAGTTTCACTTATAGCAAACGCGTTGTATAATTTAATTCTGAAAGCATTTAAAAATTACTGAAATAATGACGTAAATTGTATTTACAAGCGTTCCATTACGTATATCAGACAATTTCTTGCATAAAATGTAAAATCGATTATGCTAATTTTCATCAGATAATTATCACAAAGTTATCTTTAAATGCTTTAGCAATTACATTAATTTTGTTTTTTTCATTTTCCAAACTATAATTTTTAGTTTATTTTAAGAATAGTCCTCAAAACGCGTAATTTTTTTCTAATTTGAATATTTTAGTATAAGATCGAACTTTTAATTCAAATATTGAATTCAAATCGTTTTGATAGTCAAATTCTTATTAAATATTGAACATTGCACCTCGTATTCAAATTTTAGTAGTAATAATCATCAAACATTGCTGCTATCGCATAAATGCTAATGATGAATGATTACTGTATTATAATAGTTTTAACACTTAATTTTATCTCTCAAAAGTTACCTAAAAATTTGCATAAATGACACTTAAGTGCACAATGTAAAGTGCAAAGCAATGTAATGAGTTTTGCATATGCTTTGTTAAGACATAGAAAATTTGTTTGTTTCACTGTCACGAAATAGTGTGTTAAAAAAAGACCAAAAAATTTGCATAAACTGCAACAGTTCCTCAAATTGTGCAACAAAGCACGTCGAAGTCATTGTTCACTCAAGCTTTTGTGACCGGCGGTTGCATTCTCTGCTTGCTTCTTCAGGTGATAATAGCTTTAGGGGGTTCTAGATTCCGGGGTTTTTGGAGGCTTTTCCAGGAGATAATGGCTTTGCGAGGTTTTTTTTCACGTGTGCAACTGATTGAGATAAGTTATTATCTGAGTAGTATGTCTGTACTGTCGTAATAATTTCGACAGATTCATGAAGATGAATGAAAATATGTTAGAGCGTATGCTATTATTTATTACCGATGACAGTTGTGATTTGCACATCAGAGGGGATAATTTAATTGACAATACTTTAAAAATAGAAAATTTTCAGTACTTTTGCATTTCGAGCTATTTTCAGTTTTTTGAAGAGTGAGAAGGATATTCTTTCATAAAGAAGATTTTTAGTGACAGAATATCATTTAGCTTGCATAGAGTATTCATGAATTAGACCCATAATTTATCTGAATATATAATATGATCCGAAAATTCTTTGTGCAAGCAAAATCAGCTAAGTTACAATCAAGCAAATTATAGGTAGTTAAGCTTAACGTATATCCAAATACACCATTGCAAGTAGTTTTTGAATTTGAAGAACTGAAATAAGACTCTTTTTTGAGTACAGTTTTAAGCTACAAGTAAAGTGCAACAAAAGATCTTTTGATAATGACTTATGCAAATTTTCGCATCATTAACATTATTCAGCTTTTCAATCTTCATCGGCTTCGTTGTTGATTGCGATTATTGCTGATCAATTTGAAAAACTATCATGGTAAGTACCTTATGATTCATATAATTTTGAAAATATGCAGTTGAGTGATTCTTTCGCACTAAGGAATTTGAGTTCAAGTCTTTATTTTTTACAAATTTTTAAAATTGAAGCAAATAAGCCTCAGTGAAGTTAACTGTATAAAATACAAAATTCAGAGTGACTTCAAACCAAACAACACGATCGAAGATCTTGGAGATATGGATTTTGAACAACTAAACGGTTGTTAATTTTATAGACCTTTACATAGACTGTTTTACCTTCTGGAAATTAAGAGATGAAGTTGTTATTAAAAACAGAACTTTAGAAGAAATTTCAGAATTCCGTACTCACTTTTAATGATAAAGTTTTTGCGAGTTTTAACTTAAAGATTTTAGTTGTAGAGAGTTTATTGAATCAGAATTTAAACACTTTTCAGCGAAAGAGAATGTAATTTCTCTTGCTCCAAAAATTTCTGCTTCTACAGTAGCAGGTAGAGCTGATGACGGTGATAAGAAACAAAAGAGGAAACGTGAGAATACAAAGGAAACTGTAGCAGTAGTCAATGATGGGTGTGGTGATGCCTCTCGAGAGAGTGGCAAGAATCATGCTAATGTTCGGGATTCATCGAGATTGAAAGCTACACCCAACTCCGCTCTCTATTTCCATCATCATACTAGAAAAGTTAGTCTCTTAATAGCAGTAAATATTGAGTAGCAGTCCAGTTTGTATATAATACTGATGATATGTAAATTTTAGCCACTGCTAACTTTTATTATTTTTGGTTCATTAAAATTATGAATTATTTAATTACAAAACAGAATTTTGTCATCCCTCTCACAACTGTCGAAATATTTAATGCGAATTTAAATCATTTAAATTAACTGCAGAATAAAAGAAATTTGGAGCACAGAGTTCAGGCAATGAAAAATAGATTAGATCAGGTGATGGAAAATAAAAATAAATTAGATCAATATTGATCAATTTCAACTGATCAATTCGAAAAATTATAAAAGTTTTACTTCTTTTGGTAATAATTATTTGGATATTTAGGTAAGTGTCGAATATTTGACGCAACTTCTAGACGAAGTTCGGGACTTTATGGCATTGCCACACTTCTTTCAGTTCAAGCATGTCATCCATCTTGTTAACAACGGTATGTATATTTGATTTATAATCAAAAAAATTCAAAAGATCTCTTTCTTTGTGAATTCCGTTGTTTAGAAATTACCAAGATTTGCAAAGCGCTGGACGAAACGATGAAAAACCGAGAAATTATGCTGAAATATGACAAGGGGAAAAAAAATACAGACCAGGAAGCAACCACGAAAGGGACTACAAACGCTACTGTGAATCTGAAAAAAGTGACCCTTCAGGAGAAAGTGTTCATTCCCGTGAATGAATTCCCTAAAGTTAGCGCTTCTCTCAGTATGTATGTCAAAAGACGTATACTAATGATATGCAAATTTCAGCTAACTAAACACTACAGGAAATTGTATGCGATGAAGATAAGTGATAATTACAAATTAATTGATTAACTAATAGTGATATAAAAGTTCAATTATTCTTTGATCAGTCATTATAATGAAAAAACAAATGAATTCTGTGCATTTAGAAAAGTTAAGCAGAGTAAGTGAACTTTTATTAATTACCTAATTATTATTATTATTATTGTTAGTACCATGAATGTCATCTAATGAAATTATTGATCGAGTTGAATAATTGTTACGATTATTATTTTGATATAATCTGATACGATTTAAAGTACAACTTTGTGGGACGTATTCTGGGTCCACGTGGACTGACCGCTAAACATTTGGAAGAGGAATCTGGATGTCGCATTATGATTCGTGGACGTGGTTCCATTCGTAATGTTAGCTTTTTTTTTTCAAATATTAGTAAGAATTGGAATAAATTTCTTTGTTCATAAATTAATTCATTTTCATCAAACTTTTACGATCATTCAACAATTAATTTGTGGAAATGCGGAGATGAATGTGAAAACTAATTTCTTCAAAACAGAAATAACAAGTAATCAATTAATTAAAACTGAATTACTTAATATGATATATAAATTGCTGAATAATTCAACTTTTGATAATTGATATTTCAGAATGGCACTCAACGATGCAACAATGTGGACCAAAATAGTAAGGAAGACTTGCATGTTTTGATCCAGTGTGAAGATTTTGAAGAGATGGCCAAGCGAAAAATAAAACGTGCCGTAGAATTCATTCGCTTCTTACTTATTCCACCTGTAAGTTTTATTTTTGGAAGTTAAAACAGTTTTTACTTTTTGAAATCGATTCATTTGTTTTTCTAATCTACAATAAGTTTGAAATTTCTTGTTTTGTGTTTTCATCCAAAATTTCTCGTGGTATTTCATGGTAATAACTGAGTTAACAACTTTATTTTGCAACTTTTCTATGTTTAATATTAAAAGCTCATAACTACGAGTTGAAAAATCTGCATAATCTATCGAAGATCAAAATGACTCTTCAGCCGGATGGTGAAGACGAATTGAAGCGCAAACAGTTGATGGAATTATCTATTATTAACGGGACATATCGACCAACATATGCATCGAGAGCCGCTCTTCGTAATTAAATTTGAATTTTTGAGTTGTTGTAAATGCTTGAACAAATTTGCTTTTATATGAAAAAAATAAAATTTAAAAAGTATTTATTAAATAATAAATGGGAAAAAATAACAAATGAAGCATTTTGAAAAGGTGAAAATTTATTTGAATGAATTAAGTTTACTCAAAAAATATCTGAAATGAAAAAGCAAATATTTATTTCATATTAAAGCTGTTTTTACTTTATTTAACTTCTTGTCATAATAGCATTTTATATCTTTAATAATTAAAGTTGTTGATTAGATTAATTATGTCGAATTAAGATTTATATATAAATATATTTTTCTATTTATAGAAAACCGTTTTCTGATGCCACAGTTCGCAATGCATCAAATTGGAGGAGGACCAGCAGTTAACAACAAATGCAATCGTTTCAGAAATTTCGGCTTTGAGGTTTAAAACTGTTCTTCAAATCAATCAATCATAAATCGATAAATTTAATTTATAATTATCTGATTTTGCTAATTTAATTTATAACTATCTGTTAGCAAGTGTAAAACACTAGGAGAGAAAGTTTTGCCAAGTTTGGAATTTTGTGTAAAAGCCAAATAACAAATTTATTAAAAATAATAAAATGAATTCTTTACGTCTAATAATTGAATAAAAAGCGTTTAAAAGATTGTTACTGTACCTTTTGTTCATCAATTGAAGTTTTGATTCAGCACTGTCTGGTATTTCAGAGCACTAGACTGAACCCATACGACTACAGGTATTATTTATTACTCATCAAAATGCGAAATTTTCCTGTTAACTTAAAGTTAATCAAGTCTTCTTATTTATTATCTAGCAATCAATTATAATCTTGCCAAGATAAATCAACTAATTAATTAATTAAAACTAATATCTAGCAATACGTAGCTATTATCTAGCAGTTAAAACTAATTAATTAATTTTGTGCAAGTATGGTTTAATGAAATTGATCCTGATGCTGTTCAGAATTAATCTTTTTAGCCTTTTCAAAAGTAATTCAAATTAGTAAAAAGTAATTTTAGATACATTTGAGCTGGGAAGTAGATTGAACTGATATCTTCACAGAAAAAACTCTTAAGCCTAAAGAGTTAAATTGATTCTGATACTGTTCGAAATTAATGTGGAATCTTCTTTAAGATTCACTTTGCGATGATCACTTTTTTAAGAATAAGTAGAAGAAATTTAAGTAAATCATAAATCAGTCAGCAGTATACAGAAGTTTTTTAATCTGCAAAATTGCTTCAAAAATTGTTTCTCGTGGCAAGGTTTTTCTTCGGAAAACTTTTGACATTGAAAAATGCAATCTTTTTCAGATTACTTTTGCTTATTTTTAACTTCGGAAGTTTTATAGTGTGAGCGAAAAGTAATTCTTAATTATTACAAGGTTTAAAGTTGACTATCATTTATCTTTTACACGCACTTTCTATTATTTTTCATTCACTTAATTCTATAAGCTAAAATGTGATAACAAAGTTAATATTTCTAGATCAAAATTCAGTGATCCCTATTACTATCCATACAATGATTTCTACACGACAAGTACACGTGAAATATTGGCATCTATGGGATTTGATATGGATGCATTTGAGGTTTCTGACGCAAACGGAAAGCGTATAAGTAAACCACTTTCAAAGTGAGACATTTAAGTTTGATTCATTCAATCGTTTTAGCGTTATGCAGTGACACAGGGTCAGCATTAGGTGTCAGCACAAAACATTATAATACTATCTTGCAAACAAGGTAGAGTTAGTAAATAATAATATGCTACATGAAGTAAATTCAAAATTGATCCCGTGTAAATTATTTCCGGTAGCATTTATTTCATGTAATAAAATTTGTCGGTATTGCACCTTACCTTTATTTAGTGCTTCTGGATGCCAAGGAACGCCTCTTTCACGTTTTCCTTACGGATTCAACACACCACTAGTAGATCCGTCGTTCAGCGTTCCTTACGTTTGGAATACACGCGCAAATTCGCCTATGTTTGGTATCTCAGATCATGGTTTCAGCGCTGCATTAAGCAAATACCGCAATCAGCTATTGACTGGGTTAATAATGACTTTTGATGAATATGAATGTTAAGCGTGAAAAATAAATTAATTTTGATTGTATCGAACAAAAGTATAAAGTAATTGATGGAATCAATAACCTATGAATCAATAAATTTTATTTGTTTGAATTGTTTGTTCGATGTAATTCATTTAGATTAATTACTGTTGAAAAAAATTACTTTAATGTTTTTGAATTACTTTTAAAATGACAGTAATTCTAATTAAGTTTATGAGCTTAATTAAAACTTTTGTAATTTTAGAATTGAATTTTAGCTGTCAATTTTTAAAATTTAGCATTCAAATATGATGAAAACTTACGATTTGCGATATTGATCGTAATTGCTTGCAGAGTACCATTTATCGCAGGTAATAATGCAGAGGCGGGCGACGCAACTGCACATTCATCCAATATTGCACCAACAAATGTGCATGAATATTTTCCGGTAAATGGAATTGTTGATGAAAGGTCCAAGTCCCACAATAATGCAGCAGGAGACACTTTCAGTGGCAATCAATAAATTCTGGATGTTGAATTAAAATTATTGATAAATTTTGTAGTTTTTAAAATAGATTTTTAATTACTTATGAATTTTGAAATACAATTTTACTACTTTTAAAGCAAACAAATTTCGATTAGTTTAGTGACAAAATGTTAAAAAAAGATGTACTATTTAAAGTAAATTAG